GGAACAGCCTGGTGTAGTGGAAGGTGTCCCTGCCCTTGGGAGGGGGGTGGGAACTGGATGATATATAAGGTTCCTTCCAACCCAAACCAGTCTACGATTCTATGATCAAAGAAGAGAAGTAAAAAGACCAGACTTCAGTTTCTAAACCTCTTTGTCCTTATGGTCTGAATGTATCTGAAATCTTCCTGTCTTTCCTTAGCACTTGCAGGCAGAAGACGTGAAGTAAAGGGAATGCCAACAACTACGCTCTCAGCTTAGCAAGTCATTGACAATCTGGAAAGAGACTGAGGCATGCTGTCAAGCTAAGCAGAAAATCTGAGAGAGGCACAGAGACGGCCCAAAATGGAAAGACTTTGGGTGCATCTCCATATTCCTCCCTTCTCTGAAGCACTGATTGCTGGCAGCCCAAGGAACTGAGTTATGGACTGACATTAAAGGCGCAAATCCGGCAGCGGGAAAATGATGTGGCTGCAGGATTTGAAGACACATGCTGTGACACAGCAAGCAGATAGAAAAACGTTTTTAGGTGAACTGCTGCTGATCCTGAAGTAAAGATACAGGGCTAATTGAGCATAACTGTCATGAACTAGGAGAACATAGAAGGCCATCACTTTATTTTGCTGACTTCCTCGGTGGTGGTTTCATCACTCTGGCAGCTTGATTTGTTTCCCAGGGGGAAACAAAATGAGAGTAAACACAAATTTCTAAACTGATTATGCCACCTGGAGCTGTACACTTAGCAAACTAGCTTTTCCAGGTGAGAGGCCTAAGAAAATACACACTTAAGACTTTTTTCCTTACCCATTCTTCCCACCAGCATTTGTCTATTGATGGTAACACAGCTGGAAATACTGGGGTTGGCCAAGTATTCATTATTGGGTGGGTTGCTGCTTTCCTTCTACATCACTTTTTAGTAGCAGCTTTGAAGTCCACCATCACACTGTGGCGTAATTACAAATGCTTCGAGGATTTCCAACAGTACCTTTCTTCCAAGAATCTCTGAGCGCTTTTCAACATGAATTACCAACCCACCTCTTGGAGATAAGTAGGTGTTATTTCCATCTTCAAAACTGAGAAACTTAAACTGCTGCCTAAAGTAACTGTGAACCATCTAGTTCTTGGAGCTTTCTTTTTCTCGACTTGTTTTCGATGCCCTTTCCCTTTTCCTTTCTGCACCATTCTTAACCTTAATTTCCTCTCCGCTCTGTCTTTAATAATCCCCTCGATGCGACCTGATATTGTACCCAAACTTCAAAACTTGTCCCCATGCAACTTGGATGTGAGCATGTGCTGTGCGTAAGTGCTCTCCTGATTCAGGTAACAGCATGCATTACTGCATTTCAAAGAGCTGTATTCGTGTAGATAGGTTTACATCCTTATTTCCATTTTATATGTGTATGTGTGGGTGGGGAGGATGAGACTGCAGATAAGTGAAAGAACACAGGTGCCTCTGATGTGGGGGACTGAATGGGAGAGAAGCAGTTGTGCAAAGATGCTAAGCACTTACTGTTCCCACTACTCGGAGAGTTCAGACCACTTTGGTGACTCTGAGCTTACACTGCCAGTTGCCGAGTAGGGCACTGGCCAGTGTGTGGACTGGTGTCTGTTTCCAGTCTAAATAAGCAAGTATTTTACTGCAGAAGGATGCTTTGTTCAAGATAAGGGTAACCAGTATCACCCCCAGTATTCACTGTATGTATCTCTGAATTAAACTGTTGCTACACTGATGTTCACACATGAACCTTTTTATTGTTTTTATGTGAAATGAAAAGTTGGCAATCTGTTTCTACTGTGTACTCCTTTGCAACTGGAAAAGAGAAATCTGTGGGTGGTTTTTCATCATCCTTTTGCTAAAGCTGTATAAATTCCCTTTTTGCCACTTCTGTCAAAAAAATCCAAATGTTTTTCCTCTTTTCTGTCTCAGAGCACTTCTGCAGGGGCCAGCTACTATATGGCTGTTCAAGAAATCCACTGGAGAGTTGTCCATATTTTAGGGCAACTGGCTCCCATGACAAATCCACAGACTGGAGAGTTTCCTTTCTTTGTATTTTAGCATTGGCCTGTGATTCCGCAAGCAGGGGCTATAGCCCAGTAGTCAGGGTATCAGCCGAAGACACGTGTACGTGGGCTTGCTTCTCTCTTCCGCCGCAAGCCCCGGTCTGTATGACCGTACAGAAGAGACTGCGCGTCCGCACTGCCAAGCAGCTGGGAGGAATCAGAGCCCCCGCAGCAGCTGGGAGCCCGGCGGGTGCGAGCTCGTCCTTCCCATTTCAGGTATGGTCTTTAGGAGCCCCTGCAGCCTGCAGCACACCCCCTCTAACTGGTGTGAGGCTTCCCAGGCCCAGGCCTGCTGGGACCGCGGTTGTACCCATGCACGGGAAGAGCTCGGATCCTAGCTGTGGGAGAGCTAAAGTCTGTGTGAGACTGATGCTGGGGAAGTGATACATGCCCGTATCTTAAAGCTGGAACACAAATCAATAGTGATGAATCCATGTAGAAGCAAACTGCCAGCAGTCAATACCCAGGCTAGACCGGAGCCAGAAGTGCTGTCCTCTAACACAAATCTTTCTTCCAGTGTTGGTGGAGAGGGGAGAGGGAGAGGAAGAGGGAGAGGGAAAGCAAAGAAAAAGCACACACTGTTTTATTAACCTTTTTTTTTTAACTTTTGTGAATTTAAATATTAAAGACAACTTCTTATTAAGGAGAATAAAAGGCAAAGCAATCAAGTACTGTGGAAGAGAAGATGGAAATTTACTGAACGTTCATGTCTCCTTCAACAGGGCCATTTCTAAGATGAAATACACTGTTTACTCCCCACCACAACAGTTTGAGACAGATGTCCAATTGAAACAGCAGGGGAATTTATACTATATTAGGTGAATATGATGATATGTATTGCAATTAAATAAGCGCTTCTTTGTGATTTCAGTGAAGCAAATACACAAATAAATTACACTGATGTCTTTCAGTAGAAATGAAGAGAAAGAAAGAAAATCAGTACATAACAAGGCAGCAATATGTGAGAGCAATTTCCCATTTTCAGTGCAAAGATAGTTTATATATTTCAGGCAATCACGTGGTAGTAGCCTGCATGCCTAAGAATGTTGTCAAGACAAGGTTTGTAGGCAAGCTAACTTTGCTGGGACAAAAAGACAAGCTCCTGGACACTCATGTCTTCAAAGACCTCTTCCAGCTCTCGTCTGATAGAGGACCTGACTTCTCCCTATAAAGCTCTACGTATTGTGGTAAGCCACAAAAGCCACGACAATCTAGAATATATTTTGTACAGAGATTTAGGCAGAACTTGTAAGCTTCAGTAACATCTACAAAGTGACATATCAGTCATGCTTTAGGAGAAACATACCAGCACAGCCCAAAGTCCAGGGCTTTGGAAAGAAAAGAAGTTTGAAACTGAAAAAAACCCCCGTGTGTTATCTCCTTTTCATTGCCTGTTTCGGGGATGGAGTGGAGATAGGGTAGTATGTCTTGCTTAGCAAGACCATTCTCCATGTTGTATTAGTTTCCCATGTAAATATGTCTTCCTAGTAGGCCATCTATCAGCCTACCTACTAATTTGTCTGTTTACTCAGAATTATCATCAGACAGGAAGCATGCTATGTTTTATGAAAACAGATTCTCCTAGGCTTTTGTCTCAGTTTTCTTCATAACGTCTTGCTACTTAATCAAATTCATTTTCTGAAGTGTACTGCATCTGCTTTAAATAATTCATCAGCTTAGAGTGTAGCTCCGCAATCACTCAGAGAATGACAAACTGATACAAGAGCCTGTAATTTGTTATTGTGTTTTGATGGAAATAAGGGCCTGGATTATGGTATTCCTCCACAGCAGCTCAGAGTAGCATATGAAAACGCGGAAGGACTGCAACTATTTTGGACAGAACTAAATTTTAGGTGTGCCCAAGGCCTTCAAAGCCTCTTTTTGTTCAGTTTCATCTCTGCTACTGGACATGTCCCTCATTTAAACTATCTCCACACTGCTGATGTGTTCACATTTCCATCTGCTCAGTTCCCAAACACATGCTTTATGCCAGCTACCCCCTGCCTCAGGGTGAGACAGC